CGAGGCCTACTGAGGTTTTTCTTCCAGCAAAACATTGAAACTTAAGCCTGGGTGCTGGAGCGATGGCACAGCAGTTAAAGCATTGAGTGTTCTTCCTGAGTTCAATTCCAGCACCTACATGGCTCACAACAGTCTAAAACTAACTGTAGTTCCATGGCCCCATGGGATCTAATTCTCTCTTCTGGTGTGTATATGGACATGCAGACAAAGCATCCATATACATAAATAAATTTTATTTTAATTGTTTTGAGATGGGGTTTCTCTGTGTAGCCCTGGCTGTCACTGAGGTCACTCTGTAGACCAGGCTGACCTCAAACTCAGGGATCTGCCTGCCTCTGCCTCTGGAGTGATTAAAGGCATGTGCCACTGATGTATGCTGTGAATACCATTGGTTAATAAAGAAACTGCCTTGGCCTGTGATAGGGCAGAGTAAGCTAAACTGAATGCTGGGAGGAAGAAGGCAGAGTCAAGAGAAACCATGTAGCCCTGCCAGAGATAGCCACAGCCTCGTGGCAATACACAGATTAATGGAGATGGATTAATTTAAGATATGAGTTAGCCAGAAATACACTTAAGCTATGGGCCAAGCAATGATTTAATTAACACAGTTTCTGTGTGGTTATTTCAGGAGTCTGGGTGGCCAAGCAGCTTCCTACAATATGTCTCTACTGCCGGAAATAAATAAATAGACAGACAGACAGATGAATGTAGATAGATAGATAGAGATTTCTTTTTTTAAAGATTTATTTATTATATATACTGTGTTCTGTCTGTATGCTAGAAGGGGGCCCCAGATCTCATTATGGATGGTTGTGAGCCACCATATGGTTGCTGGGAATTGAACTCAGAACCTTTGGAAGAGCAGACAGTGCTCTTGACCTCTAAGCCTCTCCAGCCCCCCAGATTTCTTTTAAAGAAAATTTAAGCCTGAAATCTGTAACTTTAGTGGTAGCCTTTGGTATCCATGAGTTCTGGATCTTCCGAATTAACAAACTATAGATGGAAATTTTATTTATTATTATTATTTTGTTTTTTTGAGAGAGGGTCTTTCTATGTAGCTCTGACTGTCCTAAAACTCACTACGTACACCAGGCTGAGTTTGAACTCACAAAGATCCTCCTGCCTCTGCCTCTTGAGTGCTGAGATTAAAGGAAAATTTAGACTTACAATAGTTGTATCTGTCCTGAGTAGGTCCAAATTTCGCTGGTCATTATTCACCAAATAATATAACATTTTCTTGTGTTGGGTATTACAAGTAATCTAAAAAAAGAATTTAAAGTATAAGATTGCATGGGCTACAAACAAATATTCTATGCTTTTTGTTTGTTTGTTTGTTTTTTGTTTTTGTTTTTTCGAGACAGGGTTTCTCTGTGGTTTTGGAACCTGTCCTGGAACTAGCACTTGTAGACCAGGCTGGTCTCGAACTCACAGAGGTCCGCCTGCCTCTGCCTCCCGAGTGCTGGGATTAAAGGCGTGCACCACCACCGCCCAGCCTCTTCTATGCATTTTATACAAGGAACTTGAATATCTGCAGTGTTTGCTACCCGTAGAGTTCTGGAACTAACAGGAATAGCAGACAGTACTTCCAGCCTGGGTTTCCAGAATAGCCACCAGGGGGCACCTGCAGCCACCTGTCTAAAGATTTCTCAAAACAACAGAATCCTGGTCACTCTGAAAGAGTGATATAGGATTTCTACCTCAGCAGGCCTGGCAGGGACTTGCCTGTGGGTCTCAGTAAAAACTCATTCCAACCTACTAAGGTCTTATGCTGCAGTACCTACCATGGAGTGCTGGAGCCTGGCCTTCACCAGTTGCACTGTGAACAGCTTAACACAAGACAGTCTCTGAGGCACTCAAGAGTGAGTACCAAGATTCTGTGAAGTCACCTGAGATACCAGGATGATTCTGAGTATCTTCTGGAGCCCAGCGACTCTCTGAGTGCCATAAAAAGCTAGCCCCAGTTGTGTGGTTGTCACCTTCTTTCTGTCTCCCAGCAGCAGAGCTGCTCCAGAACTTGATAGTCTCAGTCAGCTGGACAAGTGTAACAGTAAAACTAAAATGCTGCAGTTTCCTGGAGGGGTGCAGCGGGCAGCGGGCCGTGAGACCACAATCACAGTGGACAGTGGGCAGTGGGCAGCCAGTCCCAGGCAGGGGGCCGCATGGTGGGTGAGACACCTTGGTGGGCCAGCCAGTACCACGAGGAGAGACAGATGGGCACGCCATCAGTTCTCTGAAGGTGACTGGTCCCGGGGAAGAAAGCCACGCAGTGGGCGAGAGACAGAGACATGGATAGGCTCACCATGCAGAGTCAGGATAGTTGGTGGGTTATGGAAAGGAAGGGGAGAAGGGGGGAGAGCAGTGAGAGAGGCAGAGGCAGAGAGAGAGAGAAACAAGGAAGGGACTCAGGCTGGAAGGGAAGATCAGCTTGCCTGAGAGGAGGAGGGGAGAGTGGGCATGGCTTGTCTCTTAAAGGGACAGAGAAGACCATCACAACAAGGAGTCAGCAAGTCCACTGGCAGTAAATAATAGTTAGGCTCCTTCCCAACTGAGATGCAGGAGTGGGACCCATGCACTCCCAGGAATCTGAGCTGTAAAGGTGGCCTCATCCATATAGAATGAGAGAGACCCCAGTTTTCAGAGAGCTGTTAGTAGAGTCAGATTAGCCATCAGACCCAAACCTCCATCCCTGTTTGAACTAGTTATTAAGTGGGACCTGAAATACCATCTTTTGGAATTTGAAAATTGGCATATAGAATGTCCTTATACCAAGAAAACATTTCAAAAAGGGTTGAGAGATGGCTCAGTTGGTAAACTGTGACCTGAGCACAATCCCCAGAACCCAAGTTAAAATAAAAATAATAGTAATAATAATGATAATAATAATAAGACTCAGGGTTAAGAACACTGACCTTTCCTCCAGAAGACCCAGATTCAATTCCCATACTGTACTGACAAGGACTTATACCATCATGTATAACTTGCTCTGGCCTCCTTGAGCACAAGGCATACGAGTGCCTATACACATAAAGTATAATAAAATAATTAAATCGAAATTTAGAAAGATGGGCATGGGGGCACACACCTTTATCCCAGCACTCAGGAGGCAGAGGCAGATGGGTCTCTGAATTTGAGGTCAGTCTGGTCTACATACATTGTTAGGGTTGCATAGAGGGACCATGTCTCAAAAAGAGAGAAAAGGGGACTGGAGAGACAACTAAGAAGTTAAGAGCACTGGCTGCTCTTCCAGAGGTCCTGAGTTCAATTCCCAGCAACCACATGGTGGCTCACAACCATCTGTAATGAGATCTGGTGCCCTTTCTGGCCTGTGGGCATGCATGCAGGCAGAACACTGTATACATAATAAATAATACATCTTTAAAAAGGAGAGAGAGAGAGAAGAAAAAATTTTCAGAAGTAGAGGACCCTGGGCACTCCACTGTTCCCCCCGGTGGGTTTCCTCCATGGACTGTGATGTAGGGTCCTAGCTTAGCCCCTGTCCCTAGATTTGGGGGGCATAATTGACATTGAATAGGCTAGGATCTTTTTTTTTTTTTCTTCTAAGACAGGATCTCACTCTGTAACCCTGGCTAGATTGCAACTCACTATCTAGACCAGGCTGTGCCAGAACTCACA